AACGTTCCTGGAGAACAAAATAGCATCCAGGTTTGAACGCACGAAACTTACACGAAGTTTCATAAATTATGGACGAAATTTGAATATGTGGGAACAAGCAGATCTAAATTAACATATTTTTTTACTAATTGAGCTACCAGATCTTCAAAGCGTACTATTATCTAGCTTTATTTATGTATAAGTAACTCCATGACTGTTACAACTATGTACGATTGTACAAAAAGTTCCTTTGGATTTCAATTACTTATTGCTAATCGCACTAGATATCTAAGAAAATGAATTTCAATAAGCAAGAAATATAAGACGTTCTCAAAAATCACTCCAAATTAACTTTATTCAAGTCAATAAGGGTCAAATTGAAAGAATAGTGATGAATTTCGAAGCCTCAAAGCCACAACTAGCTAAGTTCTAATAACAAATTTGCTTGGATTGTAGCCTATTGGTATATAATATTCCACATATCATTTAAATGATTTACTATCGTCGTGTTTCTAGTTAATTAGTAGGTTATATTTTTTATTGTGTTATTTGGTTTCTTCGCGCTTCAGAATTGGTGTGGCACGACAAAAATTATATAAAATTTAGGAGTATTGTATTTAGTATTGCTGAATTTTTCCTTCACGCTGGTGATGTTCAAGAGACTATAAGTTATATGAAAAAAATTAATGAAATTTAATTAAGCATACTTGATAATAAATATTTTTTCATATTTTATAAATTGAGAAAGTGGATGATTGCCCGAGGAAAGTGAAAGTTTCTAAAAAGGCCGGGAAAAATTGCCATAAAAAAAATGCGGTCAAGTTTTGCAAATTAAAGACGTTTAAGTTAGTAAGACGTTTTCGAGCGAGTTTATAAATTTGGTTGGAGCGGTGCTCAAAAGTGCTTATTAACAGTGAATAATATATTATATAACTATACCTATCTGCTTCAACTTGAATATTTTTTTATTTCTTTCCAACTAGTAGAAATCTCTGGCACTCGAAAATGTTTCAACGGCAAGTTTCCTTTAAATGTATTCCTACGTTTTAAGCCTATGTGGGACCCTGCTTCTAAAAAGTAGATGATCACGCAAATCTCACTATCACTAAGACTTTTTCACTATCTTAATAGTACGTCAGCCGATCCCTCATTAGTGGTGCATCGTTATAAAGGGAATGTGAGTTAATATCGTGAGTCTTAAAATTCTGTTTCATTCAGTTTTTTTGCAGTAACTATTTTATTATAAGCCGCTATAAAACGTGGCAAAAACCACGATCTGCAAAAATGATAGTGATCTTTTTGATATAACGGGACGCGTGCTTGATAAAGTAAGACTTATATCAGCAGGAAAATTTTGCAGGCGGAAAACTTCAGCGAGGAAATGATGGCGAGCTGAATCGTTTGCGGAATATTAACTAAGCTAAGCTAGGACAGCATCTTATAGGTGGCTCAGTGGTGTAGCTTCAACATAGCAAAATGCAACTTGAAAAAAATTGTTTAGTAGAAGGAAAAAATCAATGTTTCAGAGTATTTAATAGATTAAGACTATAATCGACAATCAATTTTTTGGTGGTTTTGTAATCAAACAGTTAAAACTGCAGAATCAACTGTGTAAATGTAAAAATATGCTAATAAAATTTGGTTTCGATTTCACAATAGTTCGGGTGGGGTTTTTATTTGAAAATTTGCTTTATTACAGCAAAGGTTGACTTATGCATCACAATTTTCATAAAAACAGAATATTTTGGAACTATTATAAAATTTATATTTGAATTTTTTAATTTGCTAAAGATTTGTTTTCGGAACTGAAGTTCTAAACTTTTAAAACAGTTTTCTGCATCGATAGGTTAAAAAATATTGCTTTTCCATCTTCAAATCTGACAGTAATCTAAAAAATCTTTAAAAAAATTAATAATCTTAAATTTTAAAATTTAAAAACAGTAACTTATGTACCTTGTCTGCTGAATAGATTTTCTTTCGCAGATTTCCCTCTCGGTGATTCAACTTTGGCTGTATTCTGAGGTTCAAAAATATGAACTGTGCTACTCATTTTCAATACACCGGATATCACTGATTTAATAATTGAACGTTCGTTGATGTCGCAAAATATTTTAGTCAATATAACGCATTAAACATACCTACTTTACTTTCTTTCTATTAGTTAAAGGAAATGAAACAATTGCGTTCACCAGTTATTGATGGATTTGCGTGGTTCTGGGTTTCTAATCGGTTTATGCATCTTAATATTTAAATAACAAACCTAGCCCGAGTTTAATAACAATTTTTTGTAATCTCTTGCCGTTCAATTCGGTGCCGTGTTAACAATGCGATGTAACAAAGCCCTTAATGCAGATATGAATGTTTAAATCAATATAAAAAACCAAAAATTAAAACATTAAATTTCCGTATACTAAAATGCTAAATTGGGGATAGCTCCCAAATTCGACTTTTGATATTTAATCTTCCTACGACACTGAAAGGAGCTGAGCATAGCGTCTCGGTTTCTGAAGAATTTATCGAACCAGGTTGGGAAATTACGTTTCCACTATGTTACCATTAATTTATATGGGTCTTGTAAAAAGCATATTAAAAATAAGATATATTTAGGAGGCGGAAAATTTCCCCATGGACCAATAATTCTTTTTGGTGCAACAAACACAGCCTAAGAAAACAGGATGAGAAACAGAACGTATTAGTCTCTGAGAAACTCGCCGAGAATTTCATAAGCAGTCTATGCTTTATAGCGTTTGCACGATTATCATACAAAGCAGCCTGGATAGGAATGTGAATAAAATAATGTTTTTCTCAATTGCTAAAGCGAACCAAAAGTGTATTTTAATCTTATTTTAAAAGTAGGAATAAAGTAAGGATGATATCAATTAAATTCTTTCAAATTGGATTTTCAGTAGATCCGATTAGGCAATGATTGAACAAGTGGTTCTTGAGAAGTGATTATCTGCAGCGGCATTGGATTTTATATTCATTTCCAGTGACCCTGTCTAATGCCTCACTCAACAAATCCCGCGAAAATAAATCTGATGCAAAATGTATACTTCATTAATTTGGGTATTCGCTATTTTTCAGACTTTAGGGTTTTCGTGCTGTTCAGACAAAATGCAGATTAGATTTTACTTTTCAATTAATCCATGCTTATAGAATAAATCTTTTAAACGTTTGCTTTGATTTTTTGACTATAGATTTATTAACTGAATGTACTAACTTAGGTAGTACGTGCGATTAATTTATATAATGTATTTTCAAAACCCTTAATAAGTCGGGAATTGACTCAATTAATATTCATATGTTGTTCACGCCTGTTCTTTTACACGTATTTGTTTGGATTCATTTTTTATTCCACATGGAATCTCTAGGCTAATTTGCCTGATAATGATAATCCTGATTTGCTCATTTAATACGTTTCCAGAAATCAGCATGATTTCCTAGCAAAACAGCTTCACATAGGCATTTACACTATCCTTTTGTGAGAATTCAATTAACTTCAGTCCTTAAAGCGCTATTTCAGATAATCATAGTCGAGTGGCAATCATCTTGATTACCCAAATAATAATTTTCAGCGTGGCGCATGCCGAAGCGCAGCATATATTAGAGCAGCAATGAATCAGAGTTTCAGTTAAATCCACCTTGATGAATGCTTTTGGCTTCATGCCTGTATAAATCCTCAATGCATACCAATGAAGTAAACTCTGTTCCGTTTCTAGCGGCTCCACGTCATCCTCTATCGTTGCCATTTACCGTCCTTTTTATTTTCCGCGATGGGACTATATTCTCTACCCAGACTAGAACATATTTCCTACCACAACATTGTAAAAGTTACCAGTATTTTCCTGGATTAATCGTTATTGTATTGTCTGGACGCAGTTTTGTCTTAAATTATAATTTTATCGTGCAAGTTTGGTGTATTGATTACACTAGAAATCGTTTGCTAGTAAGTCTGTTTTTTATTGAATGTTTAAGTTGTGCAAAGGTCGGGAATAAGCTCCTTATGGTTTGTTCGAGTGGAACGTAAATTAGAAACAATACGGGAAAGAGTTTATGGAAAAGTGTCTTTTAATAATAGCAATAATTTCTGCCGGGTGTTATTCCTGCGATTGCTTAATTCACCGCTAAAACAGATTTAATAAATATAAGAGTGAAACGTTCCCGTGCTAGCTAGCAATTTATGCAGTAGTTTTTAAAGAGACAGAGAACCGTTTATTTTCAACTGCACATTCTCGGATATGAGTAGAAGCGAATTAATTATGATCCCTGAACCCAGTACAGAAGAGAATAATTATTTCTATAAGTGTATTGAACATCTATACGTAAGCCTTGCCACTAATACAAGTCCCAGGACTTTTGCCAGTTAACCTTAGCTGGCCTGGAATCCATTCGGTTTTGTCCAAGGGAGAATTAAGGTGCGCATTTCTCTTTTCCACGGACAGTGGAATTGAATAGACCTGTGATACATGGCCTTAGCTGCCCTAATCTATTATACAATTTCGTTCAAGTTTTGCCCAATAAGAGGCCATATTTTTTCCGGTCGAATTAATTTTTTTGAGATAGAGAAAATATTTTCGCCAATAAATTTCAACTTAAGAAGGGTTATTTGGTGATAAACCAGCTATATTTTTTATAAAGAATTTATATTGCTTTACCTTGTGAAATTCCGAAGTGTATTTTCAAACGGATGTTAACGGAAATAATTTGATTTTCAAATTATCCGTTACAGTAACATTTTGTCGTATATTACACATGAACCCTCAAAATTTTGCATTTAACCAAAGAGTTATTAAAGACGTAAAAAGCACATAGCATTTAATTACTTAAAATTCAAAATCAAGATACGAATGTGTTACGTTGCAAAAACAATTATTTTTTAAGTAGGTATCTATTTAGATCATTTTCAAATGGATATTCGGAACATAAAAAATATTTGAAACATCGGCAACATGATTGGACTTCACCCATATAAACAGACTTGAGCATAACGACAGAGCCAAAAGCGTAAAGAAACACTGCGATTTTAGAACATGACTTTTATTAAAATAAATTACAGTCACACACAGACGACAGATAGAGACAGAGAGCATATATTACATAGAGATGAAAAATAAAGAAATTGAGCAACAAATAAGCAACAAAACAAAACCAAAAACAAATAATATAATATCTAGATAAACAGTATACATTTTATCCTTAGTCTATTATTAATTTTACAGCATATTTACAAGTTTTTTTCTTTACGTATATCGTATATAAGTATTCTAAATTCCCATGGAATATATATTTTCTAAAAACAGGTTTTCAATCTACATACTTTTAAATGTAATTTCATCCATAACCATAAACGTAATAACATAATTTTGCGTTGAGAATGTGAGGTAAAATCGAAACATCTAAGAGAATTTTTCCCTTTTAGGAATGACAATAAATATTTTTTGCATGTCGCACATTTGATTGCACAGTTTAAGAAACGTCACCTTTTAACTACGAAGACAATCGGGGTCAAAATACACTAAAAAACAAAGATCTGTTTAATTTTCCCCGTTCATCCAACTTATTTTACCTTAGTTTATAGTACAATATTAACGTATACAACTGTTGTACTCTCGTTATTAACAATAAGTAGCAAATTATTTAAAACTTTAAACTAAAAGGTATAAAATAATACTACACTTGCTGAAAAGTTCGATTAGATAATACACCCAACCAAGTCTCTTAGGAAATATTGTCAATGTACACCGTTTAGAACCGCATACTACAAATCGACCTTTCCCAAGTAATTTATTTAAAATTAAGCTCAAAAATTTAGGTACATTCTTTACGCACAACGTGCCTTTTAAATTCATACCAAGAGGTTTTCTTATAATGGTAATTCTATTTACAGTTTCATTTACAAAAATGACACTTTTCAAAGCTAGAACTGTGGCAAGATTTTTATAATTTAAACACTTACATATTAGTTATAGACAATTATAAGTTTAATTCCAATTTTTGTGCCAAACTGCATATCAATTAAACGAAAATCAATTTTTACTAATTCATATAACATTTAGGATTTTAAGTAATATATATCGATTAAAATAATCTCGTTTTTCCAAGAGCAATTTGCTAAATTTGTATTTAACTGACAAAATTGTATAAATAACTCAATCCAAATTTAACCCTAAATAAAATAATAATAAATTACTTTGTTTAAGAATGAATGAGTGCTCTCTTACATGCTTAGATTGGAATATGCTACCAGTAACAAATCAAAACATGAATCTAATTATAGTACAACTTTTACTACTATTCTATTTAGTGGTACGCTAAGAATATTACATAGAGTCATATCCTTTAAAAGATGATTATAACGTATATTGCACATATGTGGCGTGCCTTTTCACAAAATATAAATGAATAGAATTTTACCTAGTGAGCGAAAAATTGCTTCTACTTCCATTAGTCCCGGTTTGGCCGTTTGTGAATCGATGCTTTAAACCCTAAATCCTACAATTGTTTACATCGAAGATACTCCTAATCAAAATGTTGTATTGTTAGCTCCTCCTCAAGGTGATAAGAAGAGAAGAGCAACATCAACTGCCATTGGAATATTTTATCGCTATTTCTTTTTTCTTCCTCTTCATTAACCATAACCGTAAGTAGTCAATGAACACTATATTTTAATGAATCAGAGAATATCAGTCAAGAACTAAATTCCATGCAGTCTCAATATTATAATTGGGTGTGACAGTTTTCCTTTAGGTTTGAGCAAAATCTTATTCTCAGATTTGTCTAAAACTCGATTGCCCTACAAAATATTTTTTATGATGTATGTATTTTTTTGGCAATGATAATGAAGTTAAGCGAGTTTATGACATGACTCAGTTAAGTATGTAAAATATTAGTGACAATAATTAACAATTAATACCTGTACACCTGCACTAAAACCTCCTGAGGTTTGGTTAATCGGAACTAATTTTTTCATAAAAGCAAAATCTCATAAAATCTAATGCTTTATACAAAGCATGGCAATTACTTGTCTGTATTTAGGAACGTATTTAAAATGGGATATTTTTAATTTTTTAAGTTAAATAGTTGCATGTACTAAGTTTCAAAGGACAAGAATTGAAAGGGCAATCGAGCAACTGAAAATAAACTATTGTGGCAAAAACTGCGGCGCATTAAAAACTTCTAATCTCATCTTGGTCATCGTAATTTGGTTTTACTGAAACCAGCTACAACGAGCACATTGAATTGAAAATTTAAATCACCTATATTGCTGTTTTGCCCTTCTCAAATCTTAAGGAATTAGGAGAAAAGACTACGATTTTCAGTCGAGTATCCCTACTATGTAGAAGATTGCACCAAGTAAGGAGACAGGAATTTTCCAACTGTTTTGCGAATAGAAAAATGTGTTCAAAAATATCCTTTCGGTATAGTAAACTTACAATGTAGATTATAAATATGTAGATTTATACACTATTTATTACGTTTACCAGAGTATTTATAACCTAAATAGTATACACTTTTTCACAGTTTTACTTGTTGTTTTCCGAAGTTATTACGTATTTGCGTTTCTGCTTTTTGTGGCGACAAGCGGCAGTTTCAAATAGGATATCTGGCAAGTCATTGGCTCGAATTCAGTAGATCTGAAATGAACAGAAAAATTAATTAACAAAGCTAAAAAGATCGGGGCATGTTTTATTTATTTTAGAATTCTAGACGTAAACTAACAATCTTTGTTGCTGCTTAATTCTCACTGTCAGACGCATATATAACTGGTAGCGTAATAGCTTTATCTCCAATATTGTCTAAGCCATATTGATGCAAAACCCTACAAGTATAAAATACACTTATCTGGCAAGTTATATTCTTCCCACGGAGTTCGTTCTGGAAAACACCAAATCCGAGGTTTAGATTTTCGTTTATAAATCTTTTAAAATTTATAGGAAATATTTTTATGACGGTTTTGTCTTTTTAGATATACGCGTTTGGAATTCGCATCGCCCAATTTACCAGTAATGCCCCCAGAAAAAACCTGGCTCATATTACATAAAAGTGTCTCCCTCTCAAATGCTCAAATTGATCAAATCTAACTATTTCTCTTTGGCTGCGATTTATCAGATTGAACTAAAAGTTTACTGCAACTTGATAGCATCTGATCAAGCAGCAATTGCTTTGTAAATGTATGCAAAAGCCATACACAACATTATACTAGTAGTAAACAGAAAGATTTTTCCAAACCGTTTTGCACGTTTTTGTTTAGTTGCTGGCTGATTTATGCTCTGATTTATTGCAAAAGTTTGTGTGGAACCAGGACAAATTCAAATCCGACCGATAATATAAAACATTTCTATTTCCGCATCAAATAGCGCATGTATGGTGAACTATGGGATATTGCTTTTGTATGGCAAAAACATTTTTTAACCTATGAAAACATATTTATTACAGACAAATTTGCTTAGTTTTTTAATAAAAACTCCATGTATGCAACAGGCGTAAACATTATTTTATTCACATGTTTTGGAAGTAAAACAGCGGTCGATGTCAGCTATTTTAAGAGATAAGATGGTGTAAATGACGATTAGTTAACGTTTTCCCAATCGGGAGGCGATGCACGATTTTTAACCTGTAAGTGGCACAAAAAATAGCAGTAGCAGGTTAGGGTGCAAGTACAAGGGTGTAGATTTTAAGACGATCAACTCTAGAAAAATATTGCGGTAAATGCAGCACAGTTTATATCTCTATCCAGCAATTATATTTTATCTATAGGTATATACTCTTTTTAAATATATTTTTTAATTAGACTTTAATTTTACAAACTTTAGGTAGATAAGTTCTATATTGTTGAAGCGGATTCATTTTTTTACAAACTGCTTGTTATAATTCGTTCTTATTGCGAAACAAGAGCACTATTTATCAATCTGTAATAAAGGTCGTGATGAAATACTGTCTTTTTTAATGACAAACATTTTTGAGACAAAATACCCAACAAGCAGTTTGTAAAAAAAACTTTTTAGGTATGTATCCGAATTCATTTTTTAAGTTTACAGAGACAAAATCAATAATCACTATTGGTATGTATTAAGTTCCAAATTAACAAAAAAATAACTTATTCTTAAAATTCTTTACTTGGAGCGTTTTCTAACATGCAATACCTATATCAAATTTAGACATTCTTCCTAAATGCTTAAAGTTTTTCTCGCCAGGTTGAATGCAAAAAAAAATTAATAACCAAACTCAATCAGGAGATTGATTTCTAAAACATCGCCTGAAAGCACAGAACATCCTGCTTTTGGCCTGTGAGTTCACGTGATGGGACTGCATGCACGTTTTCGGCTGCTTAAACTATTTATTCAAAAAGATTGTTCGAACAAATTTATTATTTTAATTTTGAACATTCCAGTGCCATTCGTATACGTCAATGAGATAAGGAATATTAGATTACAGAAAAAAAGTGACTTGCTTCTAACAGGACCATTTTGTGTTCGGTCGGATGTTTGAGTAACGCCTACCAATTTTTCTCTGACAAAATTTCAGTCGGGTTACACCCACGTTTCAGACGTGTCGACGCTCACCATATAGATAAAGAATTCCCGGAGTCTTTCCATCCAAACAACTTGACGTTTGACTTATCACCAGGTAGAAAGCTTAGGTTTTTACATGTCTTTCGTCTCTGGTTACATGGTTAAGTTTCTTTGCAATTTTTGTTGCTCCAGCATGTAGGGTTACTAACATGAAGCTTTCCTAGTGGCAAAAGTAAAATGAAACGAACAAAACATCAACTTCTAATTGAGTAAAACCATTCAGCAGATAATTGATTTGTGACATTAAAACGGGTTTATTTGCACATCGAAGGAAACCATCTTTGAAAATGTCCAAAACTCCAAAATGCGCTTCTCCAAGACGAATAAATTTTATTTGCTGTTTACAAGGCAAACGATACATGTCACAATAAATCAGACTTTTAAAATGTATCTAAGTCCCATTCTTCTCGAACCGCTTCACTTAGCCCGTATCTCAGAAACGATATTTATTCGGACGTTTAATACGCTGCTGTATGAAATTTGTCGTCCCATTAAGCACTTGTGTATATGTTGCTTTGCATTGAGCTTGAGTTGTTTCTGGAAAAATATTCGATCTTTGTTTCGCAACTATGCGTTTGCTGATGGCGATATTTCAATTCAACGGATTAATAATTTGGTGTCGATTGAGAAATGTCCACTTCAATATGATTTGTGCACAACATCTTTTAAAAAATAAGTAATGGAAATAGCATAGAAAGCTTTCCAATTTGACCCAAACAGATTCATTGTCAAGCCTGGTATCAGAATGGTTTTGAACGCAAGAAATTTTCTATTGCAGATGTAGGCAAAAGAGTCAGATGAGTCAAGAATAATTCGAGATTGCTCAGGAAGCCAGCCTACTTATTTTCGAGTTTTTTAAGAATTGTCAGTCCATTAATTTAAATCGTATTAAATGTTTTTAAATTGTCCCTTAGTCTCGGTACACAAATACAAACTTTGGACATGGTTTTATATGATTTGGCATTGTGTGAATAGCCCAGTGTAAGGAAGATCAACATCAATATCTTGTGAATAATGCAATACGAAAAAGTAATAAAACTTTTGAATTTCGAAGTTCTATTATCAAACCAAGATTGTAGTAAGTAAAATATAATCATGCTCCTCTGAACGGCTTACATAAAAAGTTAAAATGTGTTTACAAAAATAATTCTCTAATAGCATTTTATGTAAGAATAATTGGAAAAATTATCTACCAAAATAATAGGTTTCCAAAAATAATCTTTAAAGTTTCCTAGCCCTCGCCTATCTTAAGCTCGCTTGAGGCACAAACGTCTAAATTTACGAATTTTTTTCAACCAAAAATTCATGGCCTTATACTGCAAAAATTATTAGGTATTAAACAAAAACTTCTGGTCTTTCCAGCTTCCCATTTGAAATCGTCTGGACCTATTAAAATTGCTAATATAAAATAAAATTGCCAAAGAAATTAAGTAGTAAAAATTACTTCATTAAACAATATTAATTTCAATTTAAATTTAATTCGATTCAGATGGTTAAATAACTGCCAAGACTGGCATGATTACAAAAAAAATCTTTCAATTTTTCAGCGTATATTCTTTCACCAACTGTTGATATTCTGCAATCAATTTGTTAGTGTAATTACTTCTTATGAACAAGCCTTATAGATAAATTATATATGATGTGTGAGTAGTACCATTAGATTAACATATAAACAATACAATCTGGATAAATTATGATATATAAAACAAAATTGCCTCCACCAATGAATCTTCATTAAACATTGCCGTCCAAAATAATTAATAAAACTTTCAACAGCGGTTCCCAGAATCATTCTCAATACAACCGTTTGAGAAACGATTTACGATACCTGGAAGTGTAAATTTAGAACACTTATTAACATGCATTTATTACTTAGTTAGAGATATATCGAGACTGGGCTTCACCTCTTACAACGCTAACGTTTTAGTTACATTTTCTATTTGTAACATTTCAAGCTACCACAAGAAATTTTGAATATAAATGATTAAACATGAAAAATTTAGCCCGTAAACTTTATTGAATCAAAGAAGAACTGAATTAAATCTCTATTGAAACTTAAAGCCAATACGTCATTAGATATAGATGGTACTATTTCTCTTAATGATATGTTTTTAAGCAGTTGAGAGATGGAGTTTCCTTCAGTATACCGGATATGCTGCCAGAGCGACGTTAAACTAACAGGAACATGCTTTTATAGGGAAGGTTGGTCTGTCTGCCTGCATATGTTATTTAAATTTATCTTTAATGAGGATACGAGCTTGCATTAGCATGATACCGATCACTGTACCTACTTCTTTCCTTCAAGTTAAGAATCAAAGGTGGGCATGTCAAGAAACACTGATGCAACAAGACAACTAGCTTTTTTTCCGTGCTCTCATAGTTAGTTAATTACCGTGTGGTCCAAAGAAAACCATTTATTTATTAGCAAAACTCCAGGGTTTGCTTGTAATGAAATTTGATGTCGCAGTAAAATCCATATCTTGTGGTAGCAGAATGTGCTCGGTGTAAATGTAAATGTATTACGAACAACTACTAGCATCTAGCACGCATTCATCAATTACGCCCTGATTTGATACATTAAGGTACTTGTCAAAGTAGCTATTTATTATCTGGTCGATGAAATATTAACTGATCAGCAGGACGGGGATGAGTAATTGTTATAACCGGTCGGTTAATTTTGCAGCATGTTTCGTATCCCGGTAAAGCTGTCCGAGTTAAAGGGTCATAGGTTTCCGATGTGAAATATGTACGCGTAACTTGCGTTCAAAACTTTCCTTAGACCAGAATACATGTGACAAAACCGTAAATTTAATTAGATTATGTAGCCGTTGTAGGTAGGATGTGTCATTGAAGCGAATCAATAAGAGAGCAGGCACCTCCCTAAAAAAAAAACAGGCGGAATGTGAATCAAACACTATGAAAACAAATCTTCAGTTTGTTCTGTAATATTAAGGAAAATTAGAAGATGCAAGGAATGCTGATACTTCCTAAACGAACCCATTTGTACCAATTACTTTCTCACTGCAGCTCTGATCCGAGTTGACGGAATTTACTGACTATTT